GCCATCCCCCCCTTTTTCAAGGGACCAAAGTAATTGGACAGTGGAATCAAAAGCTGTTTCATTGCCAGGTATGGGCTACTCCTTTGTTATTTCTTCATCAATCAAGCAGGTAAAAGGTTTGGAGATGATTCTATGTGTGGTATATGGATTCGGAATCTATTGCTGTGAACCTATGTATAGGCATGACAAAAGGTTCCAAGGTTTTTATTCAAATCTTTTCAGAGCCCCTATGAACAGATTTCTTTGTTTACCAAAATTCCGGAGCAATCTGGCACAGGGTACTTGGACGACCTTTTACTGATGGACTCCTCTGCCACAACATTGTCAGCCAACGTCAAAAGCACTTTCTATTTCCTTCCAACCTTTGGCTGGTTATTCAATTTCCCAAAGTCTGCTCCCCAGTCCTCACACCACCTGGAGTATTTGGGTCTAGTCTTGGACACATCCCAAGCCAGAGTGTTCCCTCCTCCATAAAAGACTGCCTCTCCAAGGTCCCAGACGCAGACTTGCTGAACCAAATAGCACCCGATCAGATTGCTTCTGCATGAAGGATCTAGGCCTAATGGTAGCCTCATTCAAGGCAGTCCCCTTTGCCCAATGACTCCAGGACACTTCAACTCACCAGCCGCATGTCATGGATCAAACAGATCCACTCTCTAGACCAGTGGTCTCCAATCTGTGGCTTGCCTCTGCCCCACCCTTGGGACACTATTCCTCCAACTGACACCATTAATGGTGCTCTATTCCTCCCACTGACACCATCAAATGGGCAATTTTTGTCCTTTCTAACACCAATTATGGGGCTGTATTCCTTTCACTGACACCATTGATGAGGCACTATTTCTCCCATTGACACCAACTATGGGGGCACTATTCCTGCTAAAACCAACAATGGGACACTATTTCTCCTGTTAAAACCAATGATGGGGCAGGATTTACTCCCACTGATACCAGGACATTTTCTACTCACACTGGCCACAGTCTGGCCCCTCTGGAAGGACAATAAACTGGCCCTTTGTTTAAAAAGTTTGGAGACCCTTGCTCTAGACTTTACTAGGAGTCTATCCCACCAGACAAATCTTTCCCTGGCATAATGAATTTCCAGCTGTGCCGTGGAAGTTGGGAAATTCATTCCTATGCTCTGGAAAATGGTGACAATTGATGCCAGTCTTGCCTGCCAGGGGATAATTTTACAACTCCCTAACTGTCCAAGAGACTTTTTTTTTCTCAGTGGATTTAAAACTCCCCCTTCAACATTCTAGAACTGAGAGCCATCTGATTTATCTCTACAACACTACTTTCTCTTCTGCAAGATCATTAAGTCAAGGTGCAGTCAGACAATGCCACAGATATGATGAACAGAAATCATCAGGAGGGCACCAGAAGCCAAACTTCTTCTGAAATTCACATTCCAGCTCTCTATACCCTACACATCCCTGGTGTGGACAATTGGCAGGTCGAGTTCCTAGACTGTCTTTCATTAAACAAGGAGAATGGTCTCTGCACCCCAGATCTACCAGAATCTCTGTCAACTATGGGCGAACCAGATGTGGACATTCTGGCCTCCAGATTTAGCAACAAACTACACAGAACAACAGATCCTCTAGTCCTTGCAGTAGATGCTCTGGTGATTCCTTGGGCTTAATTCAAGTTGATCCTTTGCCTTCTCTTTGGTAAAGATTCTTCCTCAACTGGCACAGAAAGACATCATACACCGACAAACTCAGAATCCTGGAAAATGTGCCTTGGCTTGTTCCAAACACACCAGATCTGCTAGTGGCAGACCCTGTCTTCCACAATTGCTTTATAATTGCTGACTTTAATAACTTGGCTGTTGAAACCCAGCTCCTGAAGGATAGGGCTGTATCTGATTCAGTCATCCCCATCTTATTCAGAGTGAGAAAATCTACCTCCTGCAAAATCTACTGTCACACATGGAATGCCTATTTATGCCTCATGGGAAGACAGATATCTGAGTCCCAAACAACTCCTTTGATCGAATCTTGGCCTTTTTCAATTTGGTCTCGACCAGCATCAGTGCTGAATATCCTAAGGAACAGGTTTCAGCCTTATCCATTCTTTTTTAGAAATCTCTTGCTTCACAGTCCTTAATCAAGACTCTTCTTCAGGGAGTATTTATATTCATCCAAATTTGACCTCCTGTGCCACCATGTACTCTCTGTACTCCCGTGACACCCATTTGCGCTAACATAGATAACCCTTTGGAAGACTTCACATGTAAGGTTGCCTTCCTAGCGGCCATTATGTCTGTTATGCATGATTCTGAGCTGACAGCCCATTTTTATAAGATGGCCTTTTTTGTCAAGCACATTGACCAGGTGGTCTTGAGACCAAGACCCGCTTTCCTACCAAGGGTAGTTTCTTCTTTTAATCTCAATGGGAATATTGTCCTGCCTTTCCTCTGTCCCTCTCAGGAACATGCCAGTGACATTTCCCTGCACTGTGTTGATGTCGTCAGGTCAGTGAGGGTCTACTTAGCAGCCACAGCTTCAATTTGAAAAACAGAGTTCCTGTTTGTTCTGCCTGTGAGCTCTTGTAAAAGGCACCCTGCTTCCGACTCCACCATTGCTAGATGGATCAGGCAACTTATCTCCAGAGCTTATGCACTTAGGGACAGAGTTCCTCCTCTCAGAGCTCATTACAACAGATCAATTGTTGTCTCTTGGGCTTTCCAGCATCAAGCATCTGTTTGTTAGATCAAGGCTGCCACCTGGTCTTTTGTTCACATGTTCTCTAGGTCGATGTTCAGACCTAAACTGATGTGTGCTTCAGCCACCAGGTGCTTTAACTTGTTGTTTTAGGGGGGGTTTTTTGGGGGGGGAATTGTTCTAATGCTTCTTTTATGTGGGCCCATGGGCACCTCTGTTTGTTGTGTTGTTGCCCAAACCCCAGTGTAATGATTGGGGACATCTTGTAGTCTATGTATTACAAGCCCTTTGTCCTATACTGTACAATTTAAGATACAGAATTTTGACTTCACTGTAAACTGTTTTGGAGTTTAGAACCGAACACAGGGCCATACCATCTGTTTTCTGTGGTCACTTATTGCTTGCAAAAAACTGGAGTCTCAGAGTAGGGAGGAGTTGTGTGCACTAGGGGTGGCCCTAGCAAAGTTCGTTGCCAGTATGCAGTCACCTGCAGGTAGCTTGCATATAACTCATGGTTTATCAATGCAAGCCCTGTTTCCTGCGCTGTACGCCCAAGATACAGAATTTACAGGTAAGCCAAAATGCCTTTTTTCATTAAGTCTCTTATAATTTTCATAAGTTCTTTCTAGTTTTGCAAGAGCACTGCTTAGTTGCTCTACACCATTGCATGTTGCATCAGCAACAATTATTCATTGCACAGTCTTTTTTAACAAATCAGACAAATTTCAGACATCTCTATATTGTTTGTTTCATAATTATCTTTAAAAATGTAGTTAAACAAAAATAAAGATTTCAACTAAACAAGGAGCCAGCAGCACAAGGGACACATCAGAGTAATAGTGAGCTTGGTCCAAACAAACTATTTAAAGAAGAAATCCGGGTCAGTTTTTAATTTTCCCATACAGTGGGGTTGTGCCTGCTTTTTATGGGTTAAATGCTCGTTTTTGTCTATGGGCTCAGAAAGTAAAGATATGCTTACCTAATGTGCCGATCCTCCAAGAGCAAGACCGGTTCCCGCCGCTGCTGCCCCCCCTGCACATTAGCGGTCTTGTGAATGGGTTGTTCCTGACATCATCACGCCCATAGACCAGCTCTGGAAGCGAGGACGGCAGGAACAGTCCACCGCAGGCTTTGGGAGAGTACAGTTTTCTGAAGGATCAGAGGAATAGGTAAGTATAGCTTTACCTTGAGCCCCTAGACAAAACGAGCACTTAACCCATGCAGTGCGGGCACAGCTCCACTGCATGGGAAAATAACATTCAGTTTTAATTGCCATCGTTCCACTGGATCAACTGTGGGTATAGGATTATAACTTTTTTTATTTTTTTTTTGGTTGAACTGGATGGACTTTTGTCTTTTTTCAGCCAGACTAACTATGTAACTATATAAACCCAGCACGTTTGTTTAGCTTTCTGGAAGCCCTAACACCTAAAATGTTCAGTTATGCTAAATAGAGTTCTGGCATGCCACCTCCTACCCCTTGCTGTTGGTCAGTAAATTGTCAAACTGAAGATAATATTTGCCAAACGGAGCAACATGGACTATGGGGCTCTTCAGGAGCTGTGAAGACTATGAAAGAATAACCTTTGATGCCTGCTGGAGGTTTAGCATATTAAATGAATCCTTCCTTTTAATTATAATCTAAAGACATATGAGCATTTGCTTCTTCTTTTTGATGGTTCTGTATTTTTTAATGCCTACAGAGGGACACATATCAAGCAAGTTATGGACATAATGAAACACACATCTATTGCAAATCAGACTCTCTCCAACTTGGCAACAGTTTGTTGTTTATGTGTTCTCCCTTTGGAGCGTGAGGGGAAAAAAGAGGAAACCCACAGAGGCAAAGACATACTGCTAGGTTAATTGGTTCCTATCTAAATTTGACCCTAGTTTGTGCATGAATGTGAGTTAAGGACCTTAGATTGTAAGCTCTTTGAGGGCAGGGACTCTTATGAGTGTATAATATACTGTATGTGTAACGTGCTGCATAAAATAATGGCACTATACAAGTACCTGTAATAAAGAAAATAATTAATAAATGTGTGTATGCAAGCATATGCAACAATTGTTGTATATGTGTGACCCATGCACTACAATTCCTGAGCATTTAGCCAAAACACTTTACTTGATACAGTCTGATACAGCATTGATAATGGACATGAGATTCTTTATTCAAAATACATGCACAATCAAGAAATGACAGGGGCAGATTTTATTTTGTCCTCCTGATACTTTAAAGCAGTAGAGAGAGCAATATCCAATTCAAGCTGCAGTCTTTTAGTACATTTGTCACTGGTCCTGTTTAGTATTTAATAGTACAATTTTTAAATGCTTTTGCTGCAGGGAAATGAAAGTCAGCAAGCCAAGGGGCCACAGGAAGAAGAAGAAGAAGAGGAGGAGGTCAGAGTACTGACTCTACCTCTGCAAGCACACCATGCCATGGAGAAGATGGAGGAATTTGTATATAAGGTGAACAGTCATTTGTTCTTAACCAATTAAATGTTTAATGCATAATATTTTTAATTGGCATATTAAAGTAGATATAAACTATAACTGGATGATTTTGCTTAAACACTGTGTACCATAAAGAATACAATGGGACAAGTGCATTCAGAAAAACCACGGATGCTTATGGTCTCCACTGGTAGAGCAGGTGGCAGGGTGGCCATGCAGGAGAAAAAAAAATCTGAGACCGGGATAGGGCTTTTTCATCTCATAATAGACAGCATGTAAATAAGAAACTTCATGGCAGTATCACCAGGTATTTTAATGAAAGCTGCAAACAAGACTAAAAATTCATTTTTCAACTATGTTATGGTAAAGATTATATGAGAGTTTAGTGATTTTTGGTTTTGCATACCTCTTGTTTTACATTTCCTAATTCGGATGTGAATTTTATAGTACTAATCTGCAGCAGCTAACTGCTTTCCCTGGAAATAAAGTGTTAAATATGTCACAGAATTGCACAAACCATTTTTGTTTCTTTTTGTAAGTTTAAGCTGGCTATACTCTAAGTTGTCCTGCTTGCTCCCTTTTTATAAATATCAGTTTAGTCCATGAAGCATAAAGGATAGATTCACCTTTCCTAACATGTTACGCCTGTATTCAGGGTTACTGTTGCAGCAAACCCCCCCGCGCCCACTATTACAAGAGTTCTGTGAATGGGAGAACTATAACTATCGGCAGCCATTGCAGCTGACGTCTTGTAGTTCTCAATGAACTACCAGGGCACTGATGAGCGCTCTTGTTAGTTCATTGATGCTTCCTGTCATTCAGTAACTGCCTAACCATACAAGTTACAAGGGCATTATTCAAATTTGGTCAGAGCTGCACAGCTTGTTTCTATCTACAGACGCCTCTGCAGTGGCAGTTTTTTTGGTAAAGTTGAACTAACCCTTTACACCCTTGACAGGGTGCCTTTCAACTTGAAAACCATTGCCCCTTGCTTTAAAAATTAGTCCAGGACATGTTTGTGGCCAAATGTTACAGGTACATCCACATTTAAGGTTCCAAATAATTTTGGTGGACAGTACAATTGGTTATGCCATGATCATACATGTGCAGACTTCATATGATCAACAGATTTTCTTTCCTGCTTATTTTGTATCCAAGTATATTCATTAAGGGGAGCTGTGTGCACAGCACACACAATCCAGATATTTGCATTCTTATTCAATCTTTATTAATTTGGTTTAAAGGTGTGGGAAGGACGGTGGAGAGTCATTCCATATGATGTACTTCCTGATTGGCTTAAAGACAATGACTATCTTCTTCATGGACACCGCCCCCCAATGCCATCATTCCGTGCCTGCTTTAGGAGTATTTTCCGAATACACACTGAGACTGGAAACATATGGACCCATTTATTAGGTAAGTGATCGGGGTGAAATCCAAAATATTTGGGAGGTTTAATCATGATTGTAAAGTAACCAGTTAAATTGGGTTAATTAGTACATGTTCTCAAGAAGACCCAATGCAGTGTTTTTTAACTTTTTGACAGATACCTTCTTGAATTGGTTTTCCATACATGACACTTTTTTTGTACCCATTCAGGTTTTTTGCTGTTCCTTTTCCTTGGGGTCCTGACTATGCTTAGACCAAACATGTACTTCATGGCTCCTCTCCAAGAGAAAGTGGTCTTTGGAATGTTTTTTCTCGGAGCTGTCTTATGTCTAAGTTTCTCATGGCTTTTTCACACAGTGTATTGCCATTCAGAAAAAGTGTCCCGTACCTTTTCAAAGTGAGTATGTGGCTTTCAAAATCATTTGTGAAAATTAACCTATTCCTTACTGAAGCAGTAAAGATCCTGGTAGAAACCTTCTTCTTCTTTTTTTTTTTTTTTTTTTTTTTTTTTTTTTTTTTTTGTGTCATGGTTTTCCAGTATGAAATTGGATCACTCCAAAGATGGGACATGATGCCTTTCAAACCAAGCTTGTGGCATGCCAGCTTACATATTGTGATTTTGTTGATGGCTGCTACAACAATTATTGGGGAAGTTATGTACATCTGCCCTATTCTTCTATTTTTATATATGCATAAAAAATTGCAGCAGGAGCCTTGTTGTTTTCAGCAGCTCAAATATCTTGTTTGCACAAAATGGTTACTTTAAAAACTACCATATGAACCAGGATGGAGTGCTTACTCCTGCCGTACTGTGACTTCAACGTATATACTTGTTAATTTATTACAGGCTATTGTATATATTGCTGACAGTTTATGCAGCTTGTTACATACTGTATATACACATCAGTCCCTGCCCTCGGGGAGTTTACAATCTGTGCTCCTTGTCTCAAATTCTTATCTAAACACACACACTAGGGGCAAATTAGACAGCAGCCAATTAACCTACCAGCATGTCTTTAGAGTGCAGGAGGAAAGCAGAGAACCCAGAGGAAACCCATGCCAGCATTAAGAGAACATGCAAAACTGCCTTTGGTCTTGATTTTCAGAATGTCTGAGCAACACCATTTACCATGGTAAATAGCTGGCAGTTTCCAGTTTATTGCTGGACAACTGGAGCGTGGACATATGTCAAACTTGGTGCTATGTTTTTTTTATTCTGGTACATGAGTTTTATGGCTGTGCATGGTGTAATTCTATGGTGAACTTCCAGTTTCAGGTAGTATTAAAGGAGAAGTGTGTGGGAATCAATAGTAACAGACATACGTACTCCCCTACCTGCTGCAGCATTGGTCTGATGCTGCAGCTGTCTCCCGCCAGCTCGATTGCTGGCTGGGGTGAGCACACTCTTTGATCCTGGGACAGGTGAGTTGCTGTTTTTTTAAAAATCAGCAGCTACAATTTTTGTACCTGCTGACTTTTATTTTTTACAAAGGAGACTGGAGCTCCTCTTTAAGAGCTGAGTGCAATTCTGGCAGATTAACAGGCATTTTTTTCATACTTTCAAGGTCTTTAAGGGGATAAAACATGGGAAAATGTTCCTGTATTGCAGACATGTACTATATATATTTACATTTTTTATATAGTATGATTCAGTAGTTACGGTTTCAATGTTTAGTAAAACCATATAAAGCACAATAATTTCTTGGAGTTTATAGTGGGGTTTTTTTCGCCATTGATGTAAATGCATCAAACAGAATTGCTGTCCAGTGGCCATGGTTTGAGCCTACAGAAGATGTTGCACCGGCTCGGAAGATTGCCAGCCACTGGTTGTGCTTTCAGTTGGCTAAAAATGCACTGCAAAAGCTTATTTGCAGTGCTACACCATGGCTGTTCTTTACTCCTTGTCAAGTTGCAAGTCAGCCAACTCACTGAAAACACAGAGGTTCCCTTTGTGGTCAGTATCCAACCTCAATGGTAGCTTATCTGGAAATCTCTATATGTAGTGCAATAACAAAATTGTGAAGAGAAATGACCCTGCTATGTGTGACTGCTTTGTGCTCACTGAAAATGTGCTGTATGTTTCAGTCCGATTCAGTTACAGAAACAATTATTATTTGTTTTCCAGGCTTGATTATTCGGGGATCGCGCTGTTGATCATGGGAAGTTTTGTACCCTGGCTGTACTACTCATTTTATTGCTCCCCCCAGCCACGGCTCATATATTTGTCCATCGTCTGCGTGCTAGGAATCACAGCAATTGTTGTAGCACAATGGGACCGCTTTGCGACGCCAAAGCATAGACCAACACGAGCAGGTAAACATTTACTGTCTGTTTTTGTTTTCTACCATTTTTGGAATGTAGGTGACTGCTCACATTGCCCTTTTCATTTTTATTACAGATGTCTTTGTTCCTGGCAAGCACTTACTATAAAAATTGGAGTAAACCTTTTAGATGTTGTTCTGAGCTTTTTTAAAATGACTATAGGCTTATATTGTTGACTTTATGGCTATTTAACTGTAATGATACCTTCTGTTGGTGAATCATGTTAAAAGTTTAACTTGGTCATGAAGGCAAGTGAAAAATAGCATACTGATATAAAATGTTGTATTTGAAAAAAATAGTAACGGCTAAGTCCACTTTTTACAACAATAAATAAATACACCCATATTAACTGCTTCAGTACCACCGTACGTATATATACAGTCTCATATTATAGCACTTGTACCGGGATCATGACTGCAGCTGGAATTTATGATCCTGGTATTGGTTTTTTTTTTTTTTGGTCCAGCGATTCTGCAAATTGTAAAAGTAATCCTAGAGGCTATACAGCCACTGGATTACTTTCGCTGCCACCTTTACTGGGCTCTCCTGAGTGATCTGGAGCCTGGTAAGGATGGCATCAACGGCATTGGCTTCCCCAGATACAGTGAGAGGAACTGATTTTGCTCCTCCCGCTGTGTGACATCACAAACTGCAGTGATGAGGATTTTGTGAAGTAACAGGTAAAATTGATCTCAGTTTGATCTGCTGCTTTGAAGGCCAGTGGAAACATCTGGGGTCTAATAAACTATAAATAAAAGTGATAAAAAAATAAGTGTAAAAATACATAAAATATTTTTTTTTTTTAAATTTAAAGCTCCCCCACCCCCTTGTGCTCACTCGCAAAGGTGAAAGCACTTGTTGGTCGTGCACGCATACATAAATGTATCTCGCAAACATCAGAGCGAGAGCAATAATTCTAGTACCAGACCTCCTGTGTAACCCCTAACTGTGATGACCTGTAAAGGCTTTTAAAGTGTTGCTTATGGATAATTTAATGTATTGCGGTTTGCCCACATTCCATGGGCGTTTGCAATTTTAAAGGATAAGTTCACCTTTGGGAACATGTTACATATTCTGCCCATTTTTCGGGTGGAACATGTAAAATGTTCCCATAGATGCAGTTGCGCCCGCCGTTAATTTATAAAAACAGTGGGGGGGGGGGGGAGATAATGTGGAATCTGACCATTTTTCATGTTTAACCCTAAATATTGGCGTCACATGAAATATGCTCGAAAGGAACTTGACCAACTTCAATGTAACTATTAATGTAATAGTCACGTAAAAAAATGTAATGCCACAGTCGTTATTCTCCATTTGTGACTCAACAAGAATGTTGGAAACTTCAAACCAGTTACACTTACAGTCCACTTATAAAGACAGTGTTAAAGTGTTTGCAAACGCAAAAAAAAAAAAAAACATTGCACTGGCTCGTTAAATTAGTTAACTGTGATCTGTCATTTAGTAATTTATTTCTGCCTGCTAATGTACTAATTTACCTGGTTGATCCTGCCTGTGCTGCTCTTCCTACAAGCAAACTGACCATGTTAGCATGGCTGCCCATCCATGCTAGCGTGGTCAGTTTACATTTTGCCATCATCAGGTTGAAGCACAGAATGCCTGTATCTTCCATAATCAGTACACAGCCACGGTGGCGCATACCCTTTCAGGGGGAAGTGACGTTATGCCGTTGGGACTGCAATGTCATTTCTTATAATGACATGCATGCCCCAACACTGGACACTCCCACCACCATGCTTGTGCATCGCTGTGAAAGCAATAGCAATCACGTGACCTGCACTTGTGAAGCTGGACAAACTAAAGGCAAGCTTTAAAAAAAAAAAAACACACAATCAATGCAGGCTTAATTTTACCTATTGAAAAAGCAGGGTGTACAAGTACTTTTAAATTTACTCACTATGTTCTTTGTTGCCATAAAACTTGTCTATGCTTTAGCAGTTTGTGTCCCACCATTTCTCAGGCAGCCCATAGATTTAATCTTTTTTTTTTTTTTTTTTTTTTCTTCGTTCAACCAGCGAGTTGAACTTAAAACAAAAAATTACTCAATATTCCCATTCACACATTTTTAGCGTGGGTGGGGGACTTCTCCCTGCTGAGCCTTTTATATTCTAACAGTGAAGAGACTTCCCTGCCATCAGAATACACTGATCGGTGCCCCCTGCTATAGCCTATAGCGCTAATTGAGTGGAAATTTTCCAATTGGCTGGTTTTACAGATGAGTAGATGGACTTCTGTACAACCACGCTACCCATACATTGATTGAAAGTTGGCTGGTCCCTGCTGCACTGGCGGGATTTCGATCCATGTATGGCTGGGCTAAGGACTCATGCACACTGGGTGTTAAAAAATCCATATTTAAAGGTGTTTGACTTTTTTTTTTCTGCCTCCAATTGCCCTTCCTTGTTGGCTTATATGTCCATGCACACATTGTCGTTTACAAGCAGGAAAAAACCCAGAGCCAGTGTGTTCAGAAGAGGAGATTTTTGCTGCTAAAAAATGCCCAATATGCCTAAATGTGTGTTAACACATCTAAACGTGTGTTAATGTTAGGTGTGCCAAGCCCTTGAGTGGTCATTAATTTCAATGGCCAGAATACATTCATTTTCTGGCCAGTGAACTCCCAAGTGCTAGATGCACCTAAATGCTTTTGCAAAAATGTGACTTTAGGCACATTTTTAACATTGCTTTTCTCCTGCCAGAAGAAATACATTTAGAAGAGCTGGGAAAATGCTTAGTATCCATGAGGCCACTACCTACTCTTTTTGAAATTTGTGGACAAAAAACTGCTCACCATTAAATATTAACCATGTTATCTGCTGTAAACCTTGTACGACTGATATAAAAAAATTCTCACGCACTGGCACCAGATATGAAACTGATGAAAAAAAAAACAAAAATCCCAGCTCTTTAGATCAATATTTATGGCAACTTTTATATGAAAGTTTGCTTCTGTCTTCAGACTACTTTTGCATGGGCATGGATAGGTTAAAGTGGACATAATGCTGTCCATATATGTTACAGCTTGATTGTATGAGCTCTGTACCGCTACCTCTTTTAGATTTAACAACAAATGTGGCCAGCTTTAACTAAAAATTATAGCTGTCAAAATTTTGGTAAATAAAAGACAGAGATGTTGGCTTATATCAGCAAAGCTGCTTGGTGTACCTGTGTTTAAAAGGCTAGTCCAGCACGCATAATATTTAGAAGCCTTTTTTCACAGTAGAAATATAATTGGTGTTGTCTGTGAAGGCTTCAAATATTATGTCATTTTAGTTTTGTCTAGATTATTCTATGTATTTATAAATCCTGCTGGTCTTCTTGTCTTGTTACTTAGGTGTGTTTCTTGGTCTTGGTCTGAGTGGCATTGTTCCAACCCTCCACTTCACCATTGCAGAGGGCTTTGTTAAAGCAACTACAGTGGGTCAGATGGGCTGGTTCTTCTTAATGGCTGTAATGTACATAACAGGAGCTGGGCTGTATGCAGCAAGGATTCCTGAACGTTTTTTCCCTGGCAAATTTGATATATGGGTAAGTGTTTTATGTTAACATATTGTTCTGAATATGGTTTGTTACTTTTGTGTTATGACCGTAAATTCTGAGATGGATTCTACAGCATTGATGCTTTATTCACTGTTGGAAAGTGTTTGTGGCCTTAGGACAGATGCTTTACTGTTTCCAATACCTATGTAGACTTGGTGATTCTCTGTATGATGTATGTGTGTATTAGTGCCTGTTCACATATGACCAATGCACTGGCGGTTCGGATTCAGTGCGGTTTTAAAGAGTCCTGTCTAATTTCTGAGCAGTGCAGTCGTTCAGGTGCAAATTACAGGCTATTGACTTCTATGCGAACTGTTCCTAAACTGCATGTGTGTGAGCAGGACAAGATCCCGAGCTAATCCTGTTCTGAACCTAATGTAAAACTTACGTGAACCTGTCAACAGCTACTGTATCAATTCGCTGTGAAACCTGAGCTTAAATCCGCACTGCATATGTGTGAATCAGCTCTTAGTGTTTTTCTGCAGTGTACCCTAACTTATCTTTTCTTGTTTCTCTTTCAGTTCCAGTCTCACCAAATCTTCCATGTTCTAGTTGTGGCAGCTGCTTTTATCCACTTCTATGGAGTATCCAATTTGCAGGAATTCCGTTATGGGCTGGAGGGCGGTTGCACAGATGATTCCCTTCTGTAGTATTTGGAACTATATTAGACTCTGCATTGGGACATGTACAAGGGAGTGGTTTAGAGGACTTTTAAACTGGTTTATTACCTATCTGTATTTAGACAATGCAAAAGACCTCAGTTACAAGGCAATGGTCACTGTTACCTCCTCATTTGGAATACCAGAATCCAGCAAGTATAAGACATATACAAGGAGCAAAGATGTATTTTGACCATAACCTTTAATTGCCTTATATCTTAAAAAAAGAAGGGGCACTAGTTGTTTTAATTTGTTTTATATTAAGGTCTGTTCAATTAAGTCACATCCTCCAATCATTTGGGCCTTTCATTCATCTGGAATCAGTTAGAAATGGAAAATACTAAGTCATCACATTCTACACGATTTCTTATCTCATTGTACTAATGACAGTACTGTACAGTATGTGCTAAGCATTAGTGGACCCAGGAATCCTAGGCCTCTATTGCCTTCAGATTACTACTTCATGGTGGGATATTAAATATTCACACCTACGGTATTACATAAAAACATACAAATGTCCATGTATATTTACTTATGTCAAAATTTGTTACCTTGGTAAAGCCTAACGGAAAAGTTAAGAAATAAAGTTTAACATTGTGAAAATTAAGTATAATTAAATTTTGATATTTATTCCAGATGTGCATTTAAAGTTTTAAAATGCCTTGGTTATATCAGGAGCTTAGAGTTATTCTCTACAGCTGTAGCCAAATGTTTTGAGAATGACACAAATATTAATTTTCACAAAGTGTGCTGCCTCAGGTTTTATGATGGCAAATTACATATACTCTAGAATGTTATGAAGAGTGATCAGATGAATTGCAATTAATTGCAAAGTTCCTCTTTGCCACGAGAATTAACTTAATTCCAAAAAAAAAATTCTACTGAATTTCTGCCCTTCCGCAAAAGGACCAGCTGACATGTCAGTGATTCTCTTGGTAATGCAGGTCTCAGTGTTGACAAGGACAAACCCGAAGATCACTCTGTCATGCTGATTGAGTTAGAATAACCGACTGGAAGCTTTAAAAGGAGGGTAGTGCTTGAAATCATTGGTCTTCCTCCGTTAACCATGGTTACCTGCTGCACGAAAACACATGCAGTCATCATTGCTTTGCACAAAAAGGGATTCACAGACCAGGATATTGCTGCTACTAAGCACCTAAATTAACCATTTATCAGATCATCAAGAACTTCAAGAAGAAAGATTCAATTGTTGTGAAGAAGGCTTCAGGGTGCCCAAGAAAGTGCAGCAAGCTGCAGGACCGTCTCCTAAAATTTATTCAGCTGAGGGATCGGGGCACCACAAGTGCAGAGCTTGCTTAGGAATGGCAGCAGGCAGGTGTGAGTTCATTTGCGTGCACAGTGTGGCGAAGACTTTTGGAGGATGGCCTGGTTTCAAGAAAGGCAGCAAAGAAGCCACTTCTCTCCAGGAAAAACATCAGGGACAGACTGATATTCTGCAAAAGGTACACGGACTGGACTGCTAAGGACTGGGGTAAAGTCATTTTCTCTGATGAATCTCCTTTCCGATTGAGACATCCCAAGAAGAAAAGGTGAGCGCTACCATCAGTCCTCTGTCATGCCAACAGTAAAGTATCCTGAGACCATTCATGTGTGGGGTTGCTTCTCAGCCAAAAGAGTGGGCTCACTCACAGTTTTTCCTAAGAACACAGCCATGGATAAAGAATGGTACCAAAATATCCTCCGAGAGCAACCCAACCATCCAAGGACAGTTTGGTGATGAACAATGTCTTTTTTTAGTATGATGGAGCACCTCGCCATAAGGTAACAAAACTTCAAAATTTTGGGTCCATGGCCAGGAAACTCCCCAAGCCTTAATCCTACTGAGAACTTGTGGTCAATCTTCAAGAGGCAGGTGAACAAAAAAAAAACCCCACAAATTCAAACCCCAAGCATTGATAATGCAAGAATGGGCTGCCATCAGTCAGCATGTGGCCCAAAAGTTGATTGACAGCAGGCTAGGACAAATTGCAGAGGTCTTGAAAAAGGTCACCATTGCAAATATTTTTTGCATAAACGTAATGTAATTGTCAGTAAAAGCCTTTGACACTTAAGAAATGCTTGTAATTATACTTTGGTATACTATAGTAACATCTGACAAAAATAACTAAAAACACTGAAGCAGCAGACCTTGTGAAAAATAATATTTGTGGCAATCAAAATTTTTAGCCACAGCTGTAGCTTTTCTCCTGATCATTCCTTTCCTACCCAGCGAGTTATTGCACTGAAAGAGTACAGGACAGTAGGTTGGATTTTCCTACATGCTTGTCCTAGATGGTAATATAATGAGTTTGGATCAGGATGACATGCTGGAGCCTGAACCTTTTTCAACAATATGTATGCATTTATAGGACATCAATAAATGTATATAAGTGCATGTAATGATTTTAAATGGTTTAATTCGCATCAAGTTTAGGTGCATTCAGTTTATCTGTGCTAAGAAAATAGATATCTGTGCCTCCAGGGGCAGATTAGATACTTGGAACATGTCTAAACCCATACAAATGCAAGTACAATTTAACGCAGGAGAACTTGGTCAGTGACACAAAGTTTGTTTCTTCTTCCCCTGATCATTTTGTCCTGCATTAAAATAAACCAAATGCAGGAGACCAGTTCGAATGTAGCCTTAACATGTCAACAATCACAGCTCTATTAGTTTTACAGTCACGGGTTCACTATACGTGACTTATTATTTATGGGCTGCATATGCGGTTTTAGGTTGTGACATTGCAAATGGTGAGCTGCATAGAAGTGTAAGCTTGAAGAATTTTTGAGATTGTGTACAAAGCACAAAGCATGCCCTCTGGCTTGGTGATCTGTTGGCACATACCTCTCAGGATTGCAAATAAATTCCAGAACTCAGTAATTATTGCATATTACACTAATGAACATGAGTGAGGTTGAGTAAACTTCTTACTGATTGTAGATGTCTGTAATTCTGGATACTATGATCCACCTGTGTATGAACGCTGTAGCTTAGTAGAAAACAGGGCTTGAATTATTTCCCAGTAAAAACATAATTTAATTACATATAATGGAAATTATAATGTCAACATTATTTCAGACATTATTATTATTTGCCTGAAGGTAATTTTCTCTTATAGTTTATTGGGAAACACAGTGCTTAGGAGGTTTGACACTGAGTAAAAAGTTGTTACTTCCTGTGGGCCATACTTTTCTAGAACAAGGAGTTAGAACCTCAGTTCCAGGTTAGGTTTCTAGAGGTTGGATGTGGCAGACTATTTTTGACAATGTCTCCTGCTGGTTATTTTCCAGTTAGTGCAGACTGTAGCTGCTCTTTCTGTACTAGTTAAAGGGTTTTCCTGCACAGTTTTGCAACAGACTGTCAAACCTGGAGATTCCCAGTCAGAAAACTACTACTAGCAACTGGCTACCTGGAGCCCTTGTTGTTTTTCTCTTTGGTCTGCTTTGTCTCTAATGGAGTCTATAAACATAAAGAATATCAGCTGTTTGCAGTGCAAATGAATATTCGTCGCTCGATAGCGACTTGTCCACTAAACTCAGAATAAAATTGTTTCCATGATCCAAAGTGATCAGTTGATAATAACAATATATATACATTTTTCAAACGATTACCAAAACAAAAGAAATTTATGTTTGTGATCCTGGAAACACAAACTCCATGTAACCCACATACGACTGGATGTTTGTGTGTGGGCTGTGCGGTGTTCTTTTGTGGAAAACAAACCTTGGTTTGTCTCCTGGATATTGTGAGAAATGGATATCGTTGATGAACAGATGTCCAGATCAATTGCAATAACGATGCTTAGGGTAATGTCCATTACTCTGAAGAAAAAAGATAAGAAAAAGAGGAGTCGCCGGTTTTGGTCCAAGGAGTGGTTGATTAACCGGGACCAGTATTCACATATGGTTCTGCTACGGGAATTAAAGGACAAAAAGCCAGATGACTATACCGCAACAATCTACGTAGATTCCAGAGGAATCCTGCAGTGATCCACTCACATTGAACAATAACTAGAAACAGTTTCAAAATAGTACAAAACTTTTTAGAAACTATAGATTTACAATTGTGCATATGTGTACTTTCTTGACCAAGAATTGTTTCTTTCTGGTGTTCCCACTAGAGCATGCCTGTTTGATGCCTGGGGATCTGCTTGTTGAACCTGCTGGGTGTAACTAGTATATTCAGCTATGTATGTATTACTATTAATTTCACCTTTCAAACCTTTATTAAGCAATTGCAGGAGCAAAGGTTCAACTAGTTGTTTCTGTTGCTCTGTCATTCTTTACATCTTGTTTGCAGTTAAGCAGCCAAAGGCATCATAGCCATTATTAAAAAAAAAGAAAAAAACCTTTTTCCCTGCGCTTAGTGATCAAGTTAAATAATCCTACAGCTGCACTCGAAAAAACATCCATCATATGTTTAAAGTATGCTATCAAAAAACAAGTTGCGCTGTAAATAAATAAATTAAAAAATTAAAAAATAATACTGAAATGAACGTGATATATTCTTACGTGACATATAATAAGTCCAAATCATTAAAATTTTCCTGTGAAAGAAGTGTCCATCAGCTTCAATCCATGTAAGAAGTGCATCCACCACCAATATAACCAGCCACTTATCGAATCCCTAGACACCAAATTTATAGGAGGACTATTTGGCATGATGCTGCATAGATAGACTGATCCTTTTTGGATGAAACGTATGTTGGGGGTAGGAGGAGTCTGTGCTGACGTTGTCATCGCTGACTGGAGCCGGCACCAGCAGTGTTACGTGTGGTTTGATTTCATTACTTTATAAGTAGAATATTTGTGGTTTTCATCAATAAATTATTGGCGATAACACACTGATGGATTTCTTTTATATGTGAGCGCTCTTGGTGGCAAGATAAAGGATAAACTGTCGTGGCCTGTTTGGCATGACGCTGTATACATAGACTGATCCTTTTGGTTGAAACGTACATCGGGGGTAGGAGGAATCCATGCTAGCG